GTTGGGGCGTTGTTTAGTTCTTCAACTTCTTTTATTTTCACTATTTAATAAAATGACTGGCATGCTTAAAAACAGTTATTTATTGTCTTTTTTAAAAAGGCGATTCTGAAACTTAAATATTGTCGTAAATCAAAATCAAAATGCTTGACGACATAATAGCTTGCTTGGCGACGTAACTCTGTTAATTGGCAATTTCTGTACTCATTTCGAGCTTATATGGGGATTTATGTTTTATTTGGCGACATTACTTCAGTTTAAAAAATTCATTCTATAATATTTTGATAACATTAATCGACTAATTGATAACAATAAGCGATGCATTTTCCATGATTTCGTATACAAAGGCGTGGGACTTCGATAATTCGATAATAATATCCGACTGATAACATTAACCGAGATCACATTAAGCGGCGGCTTCTGTATTCTAATTTCGGGCTATTTTTCATTTCTTACATGAGACAAGCGCCTTACTCGCCATACCTTGTATGACTCTGATAGTAAAAGCTGGGTAAATTTGTTGAACAGAATTCCAAGCACCGACTTAACAAAAAGCTGTTATAGAAAATATCCAAAAATCAAGATACTTTTTGTTGTTAGTTTATATTAATTAATGTTATTCAGTATATTCTGATATATTTTCGTTGCGGTAGCCAACCAAGTATATTTTGGCGTTACAGTATTTATCTGCTTGCGTTATTAACAGCAGAACTAACGTTCAGTGTCAATCAAGCTCGTGTTCAGGGTCAGTCCATTCGCACTTTAACAACACCATATAATTAATGCTTATATGTTTGTAACGGAGCATATTACTGTCTTCGAAATATTAGACTGTGATCTGAAATCAGATTTTTATCTAACATCTCTAAGAATTAACCATAAAAGTTTAAACAATATTTAAGTAATTAAAAATTAGGATAATCATAAGATTAAAAAATTTCCAAACTGATCTTTAATATGGAGATTTCAGTTGAAGAAACTAAAATTAAACTTAAGCTAAATAGTTAACTCTAGACTCTACCGTCTAAAATCAGTCTCCCAGAAATCGAAGATAAAGAATATAATATTTTGTATTTAAAATAAGCTGTTTTGAGCAGCTTATTTTAGCTTTTCCTCCCATGTGTTGTCACATGGGAAGAAAAAAAAAAAAAAAAAAAAAAAAAAAAAAAAAAAAAAAAAAAAATCATTTCAAATTAATACCACATAAAGGTTGTTCAATTTTTAATAAGGAAAAAAACTTAATTATAGGTGACGTAGTTTTTCATTTATTTCATTTGATGGCTTGCACTTGAGGGTTACAAAAAAAAATTCCCCCTCAAGTGGAAATACTTTTTATTTTGGGAAGCTATGAAACTCTCGAACTCCTAAAAACAAACATGTAGATGAGGTTTCTTCAGTCCCCCCTGCTTTTTTTTAATTACTTTTGCTTTTATGGAGAAAATAAGATAAAATAAAATTTGCTAATAACATTTACTAATAAATAAATAAATAAATAAAAATTTCCTAACAAATAAATAAATAAAAATAAACACTGCATAGACTGTTTTTCAAATATTTTTTTATTAATCAACTTCAGTACATTTAAAACAGCAGTATTTCTATTTAAATGAGTAATTTAAAAAATTATTTTTTCTAAATAAGCATTAATATAGAATAAAAGCAGCATCAGTTCTAAAATCCTTCCATTTTTCAACAGCATTTCTATCGAAAGGGGGGGGAGGGAGGCAGATGTCTTAGAATCGGAAAAGAAATCTGACATTTCTGAAAATGTTTTTATTAATATACTTTTAGGAATGTAATTGTTTTCTCTTCTTAAAATCTAGGATTACTTATAATAATATTTAAAATTAGTAGCTACTTGATTGGAATAGAGCACAAATCTTGAAAGAAATTTAGGATTCGGGAACTGGAATCTTCGCTTTTTTTTCCCATTATTCAGATCTTTCGCATCCTAAACTTTTTTTTCAGCTTAAACGAGCTGAATTCAGTGTTAAAAGGTTTAACTCTAAACTTTGGAAATATTAATTTTGTTGATGTTTATAGAAGTGATCATAAAAAATGAATACGATTGTTGCAATTTCATTTCACCAGGATCACCAGTATTATCTCATGAGTGTTCTGTGTGCTACGCTTAATTTTTCTGAAGAGAATTCCATGTTTTAGTGTTTATCACTTGAAATAATCCTCTATTCTGTACTTGCGCTTCCATTTAGAAAAGTTTTTAGGAAAATGTAAAAAATTCGGATTATTACTCAAGTATTTTGATCAAATTGTATTGAGGAAACAAACCTCAAGGTTCAAAAGTTTTAATTATACTTAATTTACTAAATTACTTTTATACACTTTTTGTTTATAAATAAATATAGGTGTAGATTTAAATTTGTTGTTTATTAAAAAGGTTTGAAATTTTGCTTTAATTAAAAATGTCCAACATTAAATAAAAATCCTACCCCTCCTATAAGGGCTGACGGAGCTATTGGAAATTCGAGAAATTTCTCAAAGCGTCGGTGCCTGTGATGCCGCTTTGTAAGTCGATATTGACTGTTTATAAAATATAAGATATTAATTATAATTGCACAACTCATGCGCCAAAAATCGATAAACTCATAGGGAGAAAAATATTTAATGGCATTCTAAAAGAAATCGAAGGTAAACTAATGGTAACTTCGTAAACTCAACTTCTTAAACCGTCGTCATTAGCTCGTCGCAAATGAATATTTGTTGAATCTTTACTCCACTGCATAAGAGGAAAAAAAAAAAAAAAAGTTCCGTCAACACGGGTTTCATTTAGTGTTATGAAGATACCGAACCTTTGCGGAAGCAGGCAACTGTTTGCCAAGACCTTCACGTGGATGTCCGGGCAGCCTTAATGAGAGTTACTTTCTTCATGATAAACTTCATATGCGTGACGGCTGATTTATATCTTCATGTCAAAGAACTTGCCGAGGAATAGACAACTTGAAAAGGGTACCAGTACCTTTGTGCAAGTTGACGAATTCTCGCCATGATTTAGACCTTCACGTGGGTGTCCCAGTAGTCTTGATGAGAGCTACTTTCTTCACTCTTGTCTGCTGCCGAGGAATGGGCAACTTAAAAAGAGTACCAGTACCTTTGTGCAAGTTGGCGAATTTTCACCAGGATTCACGTGGTATCCCAATAGCTTTTATGAGAGCTGTTTTGCTCGCGATACTGAATTCCATAACGGTGTTGGCACCTTTCAGCTGCTATTGGGCAACACCCCATGTGCCTTGCTGGACAAATAGAAATTCGAAAGAAACGTGCCAATACCTTTTCAAGAGAGTTTTGCAGTTAGACCAACCTATCCAAATATGTTGCCCCCCCCCCCTTCTTTTCTTATGTGAAGAATTCGAGAACATTTAGAAACTCGATTCATTTCTAAAGATACAATAAAGATAAAAGAAATTATAAAGATAAAAATAAAACAAAAGAATCAAGCGTTATCTACTCAGTGCGTAAGCTCTGCGAAATCGATTTTAACTCCTGTCTTTTGTCATTTAGCAACATGTACGTTTCGCCCAAGTTAATCATCCCTTTTCCTTATAACCAGTCGCCATCAGTGTAAATACCGCCGCGGTGGGGAGCGCAGAGACGAGTAATTGGACATCGTGGATGTTTAATCAAGCTGTAATTAATGGCAGAAGGGGGGAGAAGCTCATTAATTTCGACCCATGCTCATTTGTTCCACGTACCGAAGAAAATGAAACTTCGAATAGTTTTTAATTTCCTTCTCCTCCTCTTCCCTCTCGTCTTCTGTATTTCGGGTTCCTTTTTAATGTGCTACACAGAATGCTGTTCTACCGATTATTCTTCGCTCCATATAAATACTGAACAAAATGAAAAACTGCATAAAATTAAAAATGAAAATTGAAGGCTAAGAGTTTTCCCATTCATTTCATCAAAAGTTAGAAATACGATGTAGTTACGTGGATACGATAAACTGTAGTATTTCTTATATACGCTTAAGTGAGTATATAATGTATTTTAAAAGTTTTTTTAATAACATATTTATTATATTTTGACATATTAAGTTTATTTTATTATACTTTGACACATTTCTTTAATCCGCGCACCTTTCTATTACACAAATATACAAAGTTTTGTTCTCGTTTAGAGTAATAATCTTACAGCGGTGCAAATTTTAGCCACTACGTTCGCAATTTTAAGGAAGTTTTGTAAGATTTCAGTACTATCGACATTTTCAGGGAATATCAAAGAAATCCAGGGATTTCAGACACGTTTTATACAATTATTTCAAAAATCTATTCTAATCATTGGAGTATTTTTATATTATAATTTATTGTTTAATAATTATTAATAATTTAATAACGCTTAATGTATAAGAATATAAGTATATTAATCATAACAATAAATAATATTCATTAAATAGTAAGTAATATATTTAATTACTTAATTTTTAAAAGTAATTTAATTTTTCAAAGATAAATAGTAATAATAAATTATTATTAATAATTTAATATTTTTAAAATTATTATATAAATTTTACCAAAAATATATTATTGTTTAGGAATGACTCTTTAAGTAATCCGTTCACTAATTCTCCGATGCTCCTTCACAGTATATTATTAAAAAAAAAACCCTCTAAATGTGAAAAGTATGCATCAAAGTGTTCAGCCTTTGTAAGCTCACGAGAATCTGTTCACAGTTATCAAACGCAGACTTTTTCGTCCTTTTCCCGTCAGCGTGTGTATTTATTATTATTGTTAATCGTATTGATACTTGAGGGCAAAATAATGTTCATATTTATTAATAAACTTCGGTGAAATCTATGTTACCCTTATCAATAGCATTCGACGATCAATCGGGAAAATTACTATTTTCCTCGACGAAATCACTTCACACATCATATTTCCCCCCTCTAATAATCACTTTGTAAATAGCTTTTCAATGATTTAATGGCTGTGAGGAAATTGGTCGCTTGCAATGATATCTAATTTCCTTTTTTTCATCTGTTTTTTTTAAAGGTCGGACAAAACTCTGCAGGATATCGTGTACAAACTGGTTCCAGGTCTTTTTCACAGTAAGTAGAAATGCCTACTTTTTCTTCTTCAAATTACACAGACTTTTATAGGGAACTTTCATAAATTGCGAGAGAATCCTTCTGTTCCTAATTTAAATATTTGTTATTATTATATTGCTAGTTTTAAGCTAAACTATTTCCCTGTATTTAATAGTTTCTCCTTTTGCAATGGTCTATAAACAAACTATTTATAGTAAAGTGGTTTGTAAAGAAACTATCTGTAGGACAATGGTCCTACAAACGTTTTCCTTTCAAGGAACTCATGAATCTGCTTTAGCTATTCAGGAAACACCTAAAACTATAATTTTGTGTTGCCTCTACCATGTTCAGAAAAGTAAATGTTAAAAATTAAAGGGGGGGGATTATAAGGTTTTATTTAAAATTCGTAACATATTTAATGAACTTGTAATGTTCCAACCTATAATTTACAGCTAAATGTGTGGAACCTTGGAAACTGGTAAGCGAATAATCGCTTTAGTTCAGTAGACAAAGAACAGATACTCAGGAAGGGTTAATTACCCTTTATTGCTCAGAATAAAGTTCTCTCTCGGGGCATACAGAAAAGCGTCTACTTAGGCTTAAGAATACTAAACTAAACTTAACCAAAAAGATATAGCCGAAGCTATCAAAATTCTACAGGAGTTGGCCCCTTGACCCTAACTAAACGGCGAAGCTATCAAGGGCCTGAAATACGGCCGAGCGTAGAAATAATAGGGGGACCGGAAAGTAATATCGTTTCTGCGCATGTCGACAACAACATGCTAAGGGCAGAAGTGGAAGCAAATCCATGTCAAACACTCTTAAAAGTACTACAAAAAGATATTTCTCCATTCTTAGACATTATGTGTCTGAATGCATTCATAATATATAAAAAAATATAATGGAACATTATCGAGTATCAACTTTTTGCTCAAATTTATTGAAGACACTTTTGCAACGTATCCAATTGAAAGAAATAAATCGACACAAACTCGGCCATTTAGACCTAATATAAGCCAATTAGGGGGGGGGAATCATGTTTCGGATTATATACCCAGAACATCGGGGGGGGGGAAACTTTACGCGAAGGTGTTTGCATTGCTACAAACGTAAGATCAGGAAGGAATCGCGTTACTGGTGTTCGATTTGCAAAGTCCCATTGTGTATAGTACCCTATTTTGTTGAATTCCACAGCAGGAATTTAAATTCTTCATTTTATATGTATAATATTTAATTGAATTTATTACATTTTTAGTTTTATATGTATATGTAAATATATGCTTATGTTAACCAAATAAGTAAATATTAGCAATAAAATTTTCAATTTTATAAAATAAACCCATCTTCTTCATCCAATATCTTACCAGCGCACTTACTCTGTTATTGACGAATATACTCGTCATGGCTAGATTCTGGCGACACAAAACGGTGCGCACTCTTAAACGACAGCGCCACAGTTAACTGCTTAATAGATAAAAGTGATGAACATTACAGTACATTTAGTAAACTCCTTTACCGTAACTATATTTAAATGCATGTTTAAAAACGAATTTTTCTATGTGTGTATGTGTAAATATACATTGTTATTTATAGCATGTGCGCTTTTTAAATTACTACCAATTAAATGCTTAAAGTGCAAAGTCTAGATGCATTATTTTATTTATTTAGTTATTTATTTTAACGTTGCAGACATATATAATGACTTGCATTTAATTCCCTCTTCCTGGAACGTTTTTCTTTTCGCTTTGAATAATAAGGATATTTTTTACTTGTTTGGGGGAGGAGTCCACATCTTTTTATTAATGTTTTTTAACTATTCTTCTTGAAAAAAAATAAGAAATTTGAACTAGTTTTTTTTAAACCAGTTTTTCTTACCAATTTTGATAATAAGAATTATGCGCATGACTGAAAATTAAACGAGAATCTTATTAAATTTTCATTCTAGATGAGATGAAAAGACGAAGAGAGCTTTATGCATCTCAACCACCTGAAGGTAAGAATAATATAAGAATCTAGTAAGGATAATACCTTGTCAATAAGATATTATTCTTATATCACCTCATTGTTGGTAAGAATAATATCTTGTCATTATTTTTCTTGCAATTTTCCCATTATTTTCGTAGTTTATTTTCTTAATTTTTTGCTTATATCATTACGAATTTATGGAAGCAGAAAATTTTTAGTAAGCAATAACTACAGGAACACTAGACGGAATGCTGTTATAACGATCCGTCGTTCTAAAAGTTGCTGACATCTATATGCAAGTCGACTCCTGTTTAGAAAGAAATTTTCAAGAAGGGCCTCCCTGCGCATAATCGTGTTCTAACCCTTAATCAGATCAATTTCTAATTTTATAAAAACAATTTTCTTAAAGATACTGTGTCTCGTAAAAGTATGAGTCGGCCACCATTCGAAATTTCAGAATTCTTTTAAGGGGATTCTGGCAGGAAAGTGCCCACACCCTTACGCAGATCAATTTCAAATTTTGAAAAATCAACCTTTATTCTGTAATTATAATTATTTGAAAATCAACCTTTATTGAGCATAAAGTGCTTTGATCTGATGCTACAATGCGGCACCTTTATGTATGTCAGATATTGTTCGAAAAATCAGAAACCTTCGTAACTGTGTCCCGGCAGCATATTTCACAAGTGCACATCTGCGTAGCCACCGAGGGAGTAGTTTCTAGGATGGACCAATGGACATCCAATATCTCTGCCATATCACATGACCTTTCGCATGCCTTAAGATTTAAGCAAGATGGTTGAAAATATTCTGCCACGCAATTTTCTGTAAAAAAATAATTAAAGCATTGCCCACTTCTTCTGAAAATTTTCATTACAAAGTTAGATAAAATATGAGCAATTGTGAAGATTTCATACCTGATTGAAAGAATTTGAAATAAATACAAACACATGTTGGATACTCCGCAAAATATCCAAGCAAAATATTACTTAATAGGTGGTAAATAAGATGAAGAAAGAAATATGTGATAAACATTTAAGCCCAAATACTATCTTTACATAAAACTACGCATATGTGAAAAATATTTACACCAATTACATGTGTAAATAGAAGTCACAACCATTTTTTGCAGTTTGTATGAAAAAGATGTTCTATAATAATAGCCAATGTAGAATTTTATTCAAAATGAACTTTACTAATTTGCATTCGTATACATTTAGTGTGTAAAATTTTATATTAAAAACAGTTCACTATTAAACATCTTGTCGGCATAGAAACTACTCTTCAAACAGAATTAATTTATCTTATTCGCAACGAATATATTCAATTTATTTACATATATCTTAATGTTAACGATGGATATAATCAGATCATACACAACATGTGTTCTGAATTTTACACATTCAAAATCAAAAGAATGCAAGCACTGAAATAAAAATCATTGGTTTCATTGCCACACTTCCAGTCCTCTTCAGCTCAAAAAAAAGTAAAAAAAAAAAAAAAAAACTAAATACTTGAATTCTCTTAATCCACATGTGTTGGTAAATGCATATTATTCGAGGCTAATTGTAGCTGGAGTCATTTTCTCGATTTCTTGATGTAAAGAGCGATAATATGCCGTGAACATCAATCCAAATATTAATGCGTGATAAAATATCGCGAAAGTGAACTGTCAGCAATTAATTAAACTCACAAAATGAAAGCACTACTAGATTTTCTACTATTACGCCACACATTTATAACTGCGAAACAAATACTCATTAAAACATAAACGACATACGCTCACATGCACGAAGATTTAGCGTCACAACAGCAATAGAAGCTCATTGGTCCATTTTCAAAACCCCTCCCTCAGTGGCTACGCTGATGTGCACTTGTGAAATATGCGTCCCGGCACCTTTAAGCAAATAATTTGTTACTTTGGAAAAAAAAAAAAAAAAAAAAAAAACATTTCATACAGGTGACTTATGTTAAAGCACGGCACTTTTATGCAATTTGATACTGTTTGAAAAGAGGTCCTGGCAGAAAAGTGCTCACATCCTTGTGCAGAAAATTTCTGTCTTTGAAAAAGCAGCCTGCATAAAGGTGACTTATGTTTAGGCACGGCACCTTTATGCAAATCGGACACTGTTTGAAAACAGTGTTGCCAGATCGTGCGATTTTTCTCAAATTTGCGACTTTTGACAAACTTGTGCTACTAAAAATTTAGTATTTGCGATTTTGCGAAATTTTTGCGACCTTCAGCATTTTCTTATGCTACTTTTTGCGACTTCAAAGATTTTTTTTTTTTATATATATATATATATATATATCGTAAAATGCTTTGTAAAACACAGAATTATGTACGTTAAAATTAATATTCATGATTTTAGTGCTTTACAAATTTTGTTTTTAAGACAGTCAGTCCCCTTCCCCTCAGTTCTATGGTGATGACGAATCGAACAAAAGAACTTGCAGCTTGCGCGCCATATATTGGGTACCGAAACAGAGAAAGAACTAAAATTCATTCACCTGATTCTAATATAGCTAAGGAATAGAAATAAATTAAAAATAAAAGCAACTGCATTTTTCCAAATAACAACACAAATAAATTTAGCAATGAAAGAACAAACAAGGCTTTCTTAAGTAATTAGAATCTGAAATAAGTCACCACTCAGAACGGAAAACTGGATTAAAAAAATTAACTGCCAACTCAAAAAATTTAGTACGAAAGCTCTAACAATCTAAACTTGAGGAATATCTTACAAATTAATTTAAAAACAGAAATCTAAATTAAATGAGAATTAATTACAAAAGGAATGGATATTTAAACAACTGGAAAATTAGCAATATAGTTTAAAAATTTTCATTAAAGCTAAGATACGTAACTTAAACGCCTAAGAATCGAATACAGTCTGTATCTTACCGAAATTTGTGATGACGTCAGAGGTCATATGAGCATGCGTAACTATGACGGCACAAAATCACGTGATATCTGACGTCATTTGCGACCTTTTTTGTCTTCTTTTGATACTTTAGCTGAAAATTTCCTGCCAGCACTGTTCGAAAAGTCAGAAATCTTCCTAAGGGTACTGCGACATTAAGGTACCAACACCCACATGGAAATAATTTTTAACTTTGAATAAATAAAATAAAAATACTGCCTTCGTAAAGGAACTTATGCTTAGACATGTCACATTTATGCTAGTCGAACACTTTGAGAAGTCAAAAATCTTTATAAGAGTGCCCTGGCATAAGGGTGCCAGCAGTCTCATACAGATGAAAAATCAGTCTTCATAAAGATATGTTAAGCTGAGGTATAGCATCGTTATGACAACTGTTCAAGTCAAAAACCTTCGTGAGGGTACCCAGCATGAAGGTGCCAGCACCTTTATTCTGCATAAATGTTGATATATGCTGAGACATGGTACTTTTATGCAAGTTGCACACTGTTTGAAAAGTCAGAAACGGAAGAAGATAGACTAGAAGTGATTATTTCGAATTTCATCCAATTTCCACTTCCTAGAGATCGTGGCAAAATGGAAAAGAGATGTTTATTTTTGATTTTTGGGAAACTCATTTGATAAAAATTGTCACTTGCGTCCCCTTTTTCTTTCTACAATTAAATTAATATTCTTTAAAATAATCAGAATCGTAATTGCATATTTTTTGTTACATTTAAGCAAGCAGTTGTTAAAGCTTTTGAAAAAATAATTAATTATCTTACATTTCCGAATATAAGCTTATCCGGGGATAAGCCAAGAGATCAGATTTTGATATAAAAATTCAGCCAAAATTGAAATCGAATTTGAAATCGCCGTATAAGTGAACCAAAACCTCCCAAAAATTCGAATGCCTGGAGCTGAAATAGTATTTACAATTTTTTTTATACAAAGTTCTTAACATAAGCACGTAAGATTTCAGAGGTAAAGCTGTTTTATGAACAGATCAATTGCTGCAAAATTAAAATCGAAGCAGAAAGCGAAAAAAGAAGTAAAACGGAAGCGACACATTGATTCACTTTCCCCTTTGGGTCTACTTTATATCATCACCGTCTATAACCTCGTCCCTATAACCTAAATAACTGCGAATTCGGCCGATATCGAATATCCTTCAACCGCGTGGTTGCTAGGCGACCGTTTCTCGCGGTTTTAACAGTGCTCTTACCCTTCGAATTCCCCCGCTGACTTTAGGACCCTTTTCATCGCTGTCATCTTTTTTTTATTTACTTAGTACTGAGTCCGGAAGCCATTATATCTCGTAAAATGTCACCCTCCCCCTTTGATATTGATCCCTGCTTTTCCCTGCCGCCTATCCGTGAACATCCAGAATTCCATTGTTCGCAGGTTGTATTTTTCTTTTGTGAAGCTAGTCGAGTAGAGCTGAGTACAATCCGATAAACCTGTTCAACGATTTTTTTTTTTTTTTTTTTTTTTTAATGTGGTTGTAGTGAAAAGAAAATAAGGATAAAAATCGTCTGCTCTTACTAGGTGCTTAATTCAGAATGATGGGTTTTATTTTGATATGAAAATAGGAAAAGTGAGAAAATATTGAGAAGGGAAAAAAATGGCGGAAGAAAAATTTCTTAAAGAAATTCTTATTAAAAATATTAGTTTTTTAATACTGTAATGTAAAAAGCTTTTCCTTCAAGTGAAGAATTATGAAAAGTAAAAGAAACCGCAGAACTGCAAGAAAGAGTTTACATAAAAAATAACGTTTCGTATAATAACTGCATCATGAAATACTTTTTTTTTTTTTTTAACTAATAAATTTTTGCTGAAAAAGCAAAAAAGCATTCAAAATCTGTAAATTAGTAAAAATTAATGCTAATAGTAAACTCGTGTACATGACTATCTTCGTATTTAATAGTATCTTCTTTATTCTATGTTTTTAAGAAATTATAACATGATTTTTTTATACTACATTTTTCTGAAAAATAGAATCGTTTTTATATTCTAATGAAAAATCCATTATCTTTGTAAAAAGTGTTAATTAAATAATGTCTTTACAATGATTAGCAATAGCACTTTAAATTTTATATTATTTTATATTATTTATTTAATTATATATTATTTAAATTTTATATTTAAATTGTATATTTTTATGCGCTATATTAACAGCTACACGTAGTGTTTTTATTAATTTCCAGATTTTGGATGCTTAAATTTCTTCTTGCTTTTTCAATTTAAAATTGTTATTTAATACAAAAATACGAAATGTGAAAGTAAAAATTTTGCTTCTTCTTATGCTCACAAATCATTGCGCAAAAATTCACTTAAAACTTTTGTATTCAAAAAAACTTTATTTTCGACCATCATATTTTTATACCACGGTGTTTTTTCCCACGCTTTATTTTGTCCCACGATGTTTTCTAGGATGCCGTTTGGCCCTTGCATTGTTTTCTCAGCGGCATTTCTATCGGCGATGTTTTTTGCTATAGTTTTTTCACCTGTAAGTTTCCCGAAGTTACATAAAGTCGCCTTCTATTGCTTGTTCGTGCCAACAATTTTGATGCTGAATGCCTCCCTTTTTTTGAAACTTACTACTTAATGAAGAAAATTTATGAACATCTCTCTCTCTATATATATGTGTACAACTTAAAGCATAAAAAATCGTTCATTTAATGAGAATCTTAATATAAAATAATGGAGATGAATACGTTCCCAGAATTTTAGTGATTTATAAAAATAAATTTAAATTAGAAATATATGTTTATTTAATTGCGAATTAGTAAATTTTGCTGTTATTTTATTTCTATAGGCCCTCCCTGGAAACATTCTTGTAAATCCTTAATCGCGATATTGTTAGTGTAAATATTAAGACAGCGACGTTTTCTCGAATTATCACTGCATAATCCCGCGACATCCTCGCAAAATTAGCCATTTATCTATGGAATAAAATTAATGGCCTACACATAATGGAATAAAAAATTTTGAATGATTTCGTGAAAGATTTACTTGCATATTGTATAAATAATTAAGCGTGAAACAAAGAAAGTTTAAGGAGTTTTACTTTATATTGTAGTTGAATTCGGTTTATAAGGATAACGATTAGGAGAAAATCCCAACTACAGTGGGTAAAAAGTTATATTTTAACACTTGCAAATTCTCTTATATATTTAACTCATTATGGATAACAGCGAATAATGGTTATCATGGAAACGTTTTCCAGTCATCTCATGCTTGTTATAACCGACTTCAGTTGTTAAATACTGTATATTTATTCATATTTCGAATAGTGCCGCCACTTCTCACTTTCAAATCGCTGGGCTTGTGAAACAGAAATTCATACAAAATATGACATAAATCACAAGCAAATTTAGAATTCAAAATTCTAGCTTCGAGGTGCCATTGATCCGGTGAAGGACTATATTAAAAATTCTGTGGTTCTATGTGACGTCGTTTTTTCACATTGCGAGGAATATACCTATATACATAGAAATGCTTCATTATTTAATTTCTTTTTTCAAATAACACATGGCGATAATATTTGGCAGCAACAATCTGAAAACTGATGCGAACAAAATGTGAGTAGTGCTAATAATAAAAATTCTGATTTGGATATCACATGACTTTTTTGTACAGCCTATTGAATTATACAAACTTTTTTGCTGCGCTTCATTTTAACTTATTTCCTCGAATTATTTTAACTTAATTAACTGAGTCCTTACGGCAAGTTGAAAATGACATCAAAAATTGAAAATTTTGAAATTAAATATCCCGGTCAATTTTTGTATAGAGTCAAACTTCTTATAATTTAATTTTTTCATAGTGAGTATAAAACATTCCCAAAGATATGAACCGAGAGACTGCATTAAAAGTTAGGTTTGGTTATTTTATTAAAGTTATTATTTTTTAAATTTGGCATCACCCAAGCATGAATATTCTTGTCGTTTAAAAAACTTCTGCAATTTGAAATATATGACTACGGTCTTCGATTGCGAAAATAAAGGCGTGGTAAGAACTTTTAAGCTGGGTAAGGGGTGGGTTTATATACATTTGGTTCTGTCCATTGCAATAAAAAAGGGAGGTGCACAACTAGGTGCTACAGCAGCCCGATATACAAAATTTCAACGTTCTACGGCTAATAGTTTCTGAATTATGCGAGATACATACATACATACGTATGTAGGTACAGACATCACATAAAAATTCCTTATGAATCCACTTTAAATCCATTTTGCAATGCGTTTTGGAAAAAGGAGTCCTTTATTGTGTTCTCACGTACAGACGTCACGCACAGATACAAAAATCGTCCAAATGAATTCGGGAGCTGTCAAAATGGATATTTCCGTTGAAATATGAAAACTGAAATTTTTAACGATTACAGTACTTCCTTTACTTCGTGCAAAGAATTAAAAAGGAAGTAGTGGTTGTAACGCCATCTAATGAGGAAAACAAAAGTGATAGGAGGAAAATGTTCTGGGATTTTTTTTTTTTTTTTTTTTTGTTGTTTGTTAATTTAGCCATGTTATTCAGTAGTTATTAATCATTCAGCGTTTATTTTGAAGCGCATTACAAATTATCGTCGAGCAATGCACAAATGTCCCCCGTTGATACTTAAGAATTATTATTATATTACCCATGTATAGCAATCTAGTTATTTTTGATAATCAGTTTGATGAATTTATACGAATGAAATACGCTTATTAACTATAACAGTGTTATGACAGATGCGTTTGAAGTAGAGAATATGAAGCTAATGACTATAATTATGTTGTAGAGGCAAATGAACTAGGTAATGACTGTAATAATAATATGATGAATTAGACTCGTTATAAACTACGTTCCAGCCTCAAGACTCACTATTCACATTCATAGTAATATTTTTAATCGTGAATAAAGTAAGGTAAAAGGAATATTTTTTGAAAAATAAGTTTTTTTAAAAAAAAAAAAAAAAAAAAAAAAAAAACTCATGAAATAATTAACGAACTTAAGAAGGAATTAATTTCTCATATAGTTTCAAGGGAACAAAAGATTAAATGATTCTGCGTACAGAATTCATCTACAGTTTTACACTATGAATAACAGAAGCAAGATAAATTTATAACGACTTTTACCTTTGACAGTGAAATTTTAGTAATAAATTTCGTTATTTGTGCGCCCAGGCTTTAATATTTATAATATAAAACTGTAAATGCAAAGAAATCTGTAGAAAAGCAATAAAAATATTGTGACGTAGTAGCATGCTTAACCTTGATTTCCAACTGAGGGCCGGAAGAACCGATTTTTCCCCTTTCTGCTTCAGACTTTTTTTTTTTTTTTTTTTTGTGTGTGTGTGTGTAAAACATCACCCAATTATTCTTTTTTTTTTTAATTTTCGTATTTTAAACGAAGACATATTGCATATTTTAAAAGTGTTTGTTTTGTAGTTATCCGATACATTTTTAAATGTTGAAATTTTAAAATAATACACGTCAAATAGTCGAAAGAATCGAGCAATTTTCGAAAACTCGCTAAAACGTTAGAAATTAAGTTTAAAATTTCATACAAGTTTCATTTAAAGGATTTTTTTTTCGCTGTATCCGATGTTGCAAACAATAAAATTCTGAGATTTTTAGTTTGTTTATTAAACGAAGACATGGAAAGCGGGGATCGTTTAAACAGTAATTTAAAAAAATCTAAATTGGATTTTGAAAACATCGCTTCACTACATTGTGTTTTCATTCAAAAATAGTGTGAGCACAAATTTTAAACTGAGTAACTATTCAGTAAGTTGTTTAAAAATCGATGGCAAACCGTTGACTACAGCGATAATCACCATGAATGAACTAAATCAAAGTTTATGAACAATCGTAGAGTCGTTGAGATATATTGCGTTAACAATACTGTAGTTAGTGAAAATACACTTGTAATAGAGTAATTATATTATTTTTTTCTCTGTACCAGTCTTACTTAGCAACTGCTGGGAAACAAGAGAATAAAGGAAAGCTAGAAAATTTGAAAATAACTATTAGGAAATTAAAATAATTCCTGCAAAGTTATTGAGAATTTCAAAAGTAGGGAGTGTATTCAACATTAAATAAATATGATAATAACCACTGTCATTATCAATGGTACTAACACGGTAAGATTACAGTAATAAATGAATTAATTAGTTATGTTGCATTCACTGTAATTTTATCCTGAAGAACAATGGTTTTCAAACTTTTTTTATCGCGACCTGTTTGAACTTAGTTGCAGTTTATCATGATCCACATGTATATATTTTTCAGAGGGAAAGGAAAATGGTAGAAAATAATGGAATAATAATAGTAAATGTTTGCAGAATTAATAATTATTAATAAATGCATAAAATAATCAGTACTTTATAAGAAAATGTATTAAATTGTACAATAAAGCGAAATTTCAAAACGCTTAGCGAACGCAGTGCGATTGGATTGATTCTCAGATGCCTTCATGGAGGACTTTCTAAGGGAACTGGCTCGTATTTGCGTTACACGTGGAGAAAAACCTCTAAAACACCCATGTTGCTAGCTCGTTTGTCGGGGTTCAAAGCCGCATCGAACTACCAGTGTTCGACGGATTTATCCACTTGGTCATTACTACAGTTTAGGAACCACTAATCCAGAATAAAGATCCGAGCTCCCAAATGAACCCTTCGAATTTGAGCGGAAATAATTTGTTTTAAATTCAGACTTTAATTAAACGACTGGACTAATAATTATACCTTTAGGCTATAAGGTATTTCTCCCGCTTTCTTGGCATGCCTTCGGGGTGTAGTGGTCTGCACGCTGCGCCCGTATTCCAGAGGTCCGCGGTTCGTTTCCCGGTGAAAACGTTGCTAATTTTTCATCTTGCCTGCTTCCAAAAAATCCTAATGTCTCTGCAAGACTATGTAATTAATTGTAAGTTAGTGAGGCTAACGGTTATTTAATTAATAAATTGAATAATAATAGAATAATTAGATTAATATTTGCTTAGACGAATAAATAATGATATGATTAAATATATGGTTAGTACAATTAAAAATGTTACGAATTTTGGAATTTTTCATTTTTTTTACAGCTCTGAAAGAGTCACGTGATGCCGAAGACAGAGGAGAGTGTCTGGATGAAAAATTCATATACGCGTCAGACGAGATCTTCAGTCTTTCTGTGGAATATGGGTAAGTCCCTTTTACCTTCCTTTTGCATTCTTAGTTATATTTAACTGTAAAGAACCACGTTAACGTAAAATTTAAAATTATGGGGAAAAAAAGCAATAGTCTTAGATTGGCGGAAATTTTGAATAAGACTCTTCTGATTTTTAACTCAGATATAAGTCCTTTTTTAGGAGAACGGTGGAGGTGGCTTTTGATGAAAAGGGACCTATATGTCTGAGCGCCCTCGTAATCGATAGTTTCATTTAAAATCTGTGCCGGTCTACATCTGCCTTTGTACCTAATTTTAAAGATTAGGAAATTTGTGAAATTACCTAATCTTTAAACTGACGCTTTAAGAGCTGAAATATCTTCCTGTTAAACAAGAGTGTGGCCAATTTTCCGTTCGTAATTCTTGCTTGTATTTTATATCCTCATCATGCTTCAATAGGGATAAAGATTAAAACGGAATAATTTCCGTATTTTTTTAATTTTTAGTCCAAAGGGATTTGAATCCCGAAGGACTATTAGTTTCGTTTTGGCATTTTGCGTCGGACTCATAAATGTCGGTTCACTTTTCAAACTGTTGCCACAAAATGTTAGAGTCCTGCATTATATTTGAAGAAATTAAATAATGAAAAATCTGCATAAATGTATGTATATTTCTCGTATTGTGATAAAACAACGGTACATAGAGTCATCGAATTTTGAATAACATAATCCTCCAACGAATATGAGCATGTGGAAGACCAAATTTGAAATTTGAAATTTGTTTTTATGATCGATTTCCTATTTTTTAAAACTTTGACGAATTTTTGATTAACAAACTCAAGGATTTCAAAGCGAGCAATGGCAAACGTTGTGCAGAAAAAACATTTTTATCTCCAGCGCGTGAGTCTCTGTATCGGAAATTCTAAAGATATGCTCGTTTTAAAACTATTTTGGGATATTACAGTTGCACTGGATCTTATGGTTTAAGTGCGAGGAACATGATATTTAATAAAGAAAGGTAACACACAAAATGTTAAAAAACGCTCCTTTGGACGTAATTTAAAATCTGAAACATTTCAGATTTTTTTTTTTATTTAATTTTATTTATTTATTTATTTATTTATTCATTATGTCTGAGAATCAAGAAAAATCTCCAGAGCTTGTTTTTGTTGATGTCAGTCTTCGCTTCAGGAGGCAAATTAAAAATAAAATTTTGAACAGAACTTCTGTTATGAAACTAACATTGGAGCGGGTACAGTTTTATAGCTATCACACTGAATTTCAGTCTGCAGAAGGGGGAATGTGTACTGGGAGATTTCAGAGACGTGCTCACCTTCATTACATGCTTTTCTGGGGGAAAAAAAAATGGCTTCAAAATTGAACGAGACCCGGGAGTTTATGTTCGTAGGTCATTCATCACAGCATATTGTTCATCCTGACAAGCATTTCTTTGAAGCAGCTGAGAAGTGCAGCTGGATCAAAGACCTTTTCAGTACCTTGTCGACATTCACAACAGCCTTTGTCAACATTCGCAGGAGCAAACCAAGAAAAGATTTTTAAATAGTTTTTCAAATTCCACCATAAAATCAAAGTTTGTACTGCCTTTTTTATTGCTGTTTTGTTTTTTTGTGCGATGCTGGTGCTTTGCGATTTATTGGCTTTGTTGCAATTCTGGGCACTAGATGACTAGAGATATCTTAAAAGTAGAGCTTCTAGATTCCACCAGGAAAACAAAATTTGTATTGTCCTTTTGTTACACTTCTGGACAATAAAGGAGCAGAGGTAAGTACAGTTTTCACATCATGAAATCAAAGTTTGTGTTGTCTTTTTTGCTCCGTGCCTGGACATTAGAGGAGCAGATGTATCTTAAAATAGAATTTCCAGATTCACCATAAAATCAAAATTGCACTGTCTTTTTACACTGCTATTCTGGACGTTATAAAAGCAGATTTTTCTTAAAGTAAGGCTTACAGATTCCACCATGAAATCAAAGTATCCTGCTTACTTGCGTAATAGTCGCACCCCAGTAGCGAAGCAGAAAAACATCGTCAAAAGTGTATAATATTGTATAGTAGATTACCTCGCTTAATAGTCGCACCTAGACTTTTACAACTGAAAATTGGCAAAAAGAAGTGCGACTATACGCGAGTCGCACTTCTTTTTGCCAATTTTCAGTTGTAAAAGTCTAGGTGCGACTATACGCGAGTCCCCCCCCCGGGGGTCGACGTAGAGAACTCTGCGAAGCTACTGGTTAGGATCTGTACCTAGGCAGTCTCGGCCACGGGGGTATAAAATTTATGAACTTGGTGGTTCTGAAGGCTCTGGGAAAGGTGACTTATTGGCCGGCCCCGGAGTCTGGCACGTCCTAGCGCAGCGTGGTTCTAGTAACCCGGGGGGGGGGGCAACCCCCGGGGTCGCTGGGTAATGTCCCGCTGCGACGGGCTCGCCCAAGCGACTGGTAGGAGCATTTGATGACCGGTGCTGCCTGGGGCCTGTCTCCAGGTGGTGCGCTGCTCTCCTGGAGGGTACTAGTGGAGGTTGAACCTCCACGACGTGCCCAAAGGGAGAGTGGACCTGTAGTGAGCTTAAGTGCTCGGAACAGGGCAGCCAAAATCCTATAGACTATACGCGAGTAAACACGGTATGTGCTATTTTTATTATTTTTCCTGTTATTCTGTACACTACAAAAATAGATGTATAATAGAAGTATCTCAAAGTAGATCTCCCAGATTTTAAGTGAAATGTGACGAAATATCCATTAGGATAAAATGTTCTCAATCAGAGCCTCCATTAAATTTATGATATTGAGTATATTCAGATGGAATCTGGTGAAATATCAGAAATTTACAGAAGTTCATGTACTTCTAAAATATTTATTCCTCCAAATATTCTTGCTGGAAAAGTTTGGATTCCTTCTTCGAAAATAGAACTCGTGGCTTTCATCAAAACCAAACAAAGGACAAAAAAAAAAAAAAAAAAAAAAAAAAAAAAAAAAAAAATGCTGTCAGTGGGTTGATTTTTTTATAAAATTATGTGGAATTTTATGATTTTTGAGCACACTAATTAGAAGTTCCTTTAGAAATTCTTCACGTTTTCCAAACTGTTGCCACCAAATATTATCACCATGTATTATATTTAAACAAATTAAATAATGAAGAATCTGCATGAATGTTTCTGGCATTGTGAAAAAACAACGCTACCCAGAGCCATCAGATTTTGAATAACATAGTCTTCCAGCTGAACATGGGCACTTGGAAGCCCGAATTTTGAATTTCGAATTAGCTTTATTATCTATTTCAAATTTTGTTAAAATTTAACGAATTTTTGATTAGCAAACTCAACGATTTCAAAACGCGCAATGGCAACACTGTACGGAAAAAACGTTTTTATCACCAACGAGACTGTGTATCGGAAATCCTGAAGATATGCTGTTTTTCTGTTTTAAAACATTTTGTGATATTGCTGTTGAATTCAATTTTATGTGTTTTAAGTGCGAAGACCGTGATATTTAATAAATAAAGATAACACATCAAACAATAAAAAAATAAATAAATAAATAAATAAAAAATAAAAGCCCTTTTGGACGTAATATAAAATCTGCAGGCTTTCCTTTCTTTCCTTTTTACCCCTAAGATTTATTAATTATTAATTATGTTTTCCAAAATTCAGATTTCATAAAGAAATGAAATGAACATTTGTTACCAATTTTTTGCGAGATTTTTTTTTAATCACCAATAGTTTTCCTCCCCTTTTTTTTTCCAAGTAATTTTTTAGGCGTTTTCCCTTCTTACTCATCTTCCTTGTAATGAATTAAAAACAGGAGAATGGGAAAAGATATAAAAACGAAGAGTACTACAAATAGCAGATTAGAAAAATCCGGGAATTATAATTAAAATGGTTTGAAACTATAGCGGAAGGAGTTAAAAAAAAAGTTGGGGCAGAGAAAGAAACGGAAAACTGGAAGTTGAACTTTTTTTACTCTTCTAGTAGATTTTTTCTTTGCTAATTTTTTTTTCTTTCAATGATCCTAGTTTGGCCTCTCGCCAAGCGTTGTCATGGTAACGATGGATTGTGTTTGCTGCGCGAAGCGTGTCCATTGCGGTGCCGGCTTAAGAAGTTGATTGTTTGTTGGCTGTGTTTTGTTTATAGTAGTTCCCGCGCAATGGATTGATAGAAATTTCTCTTGTTTCCTAAGCGAAGGAACAAAAGAGAGGGGGTTAGAGGTTTTTTTCCCCTTTTTGTTCCGCCACTTTCTTTAATTTCGTTTTCCAAGCCAGGGGGACCTTCTGCAAATTAGGTGAACAAAGTTAGGTTTGTTCGAACGGGAAATGGAGAAGTGTGAAAAACGTTTAATTTCACTTAAAATTTGTTGTTGTTTTTCTTGAAATAGGCTGTTTTTTTCTGATATATTGAAAAGGAACTTGACAAGTAAATGGTTTCAATCAGATCTTTTGTAATACGATTTAATTCTTTATTTTTTTAAGGTGCTTTTTGAAAAACCTTGCTAAAAATAATACACTCCTTAATGAAAGAGTAATTTAACGCTTTTTGAAAATCTTGATTAGTTAGGTAATTTAATTGCTAATAAATTTGTTCAAGAAGTAAATATTAAATAACGGCAAGTCGGACATTTCACGGTAATGTTGCATTAGTTAATATAATAATAATAAATAAATTTTTTTTGGGTATATAATGTCTGCCATATGATCGTACTTCACTCACGTTTCGAATTCTAGTTCTAAAGAAATATAAATTTAATCATCGTTGATGGAATGTACGTTTTAGAGCTTAGTATAGAATGAAGAAATACAATTTTTAACCAGAAAATCAGCTTTCTATTTTTCAAAGTAAAGTATTCATCGTTTATTTCTAAAATGCAAACTTTCCAACCATTTTTGTCATGTCTTCACAAGATCAGTAACTCCTTTAGAGTCGATCGTTTTTAGACCAAGGAGATCACATTCGTGGAAATGCTAATGACATACAGTTTTTTTTTTTTTTTCGTAATAAACATCATACACTATGTATTATTTTGATTAGCTCACACCCTTGTATGTAACAAGTTTTTTTAATACGTTTGAAATTACAGCGCGTTTCTATTGATATAAAATTCAAGTAGTATAAAATCGTTAAAAAAAGATTAAATAATGTACTTAAATATCCGTGGGAAATGTTACGACTACCTGTGCAGTATAAATTTTTAGAAATCGATCTGTCTTTTATTTTCTATTTTTTGATATCAAAAGTGATTTTTTTTCTTTTATTAATGTTAATAGTAAGCCCTGCATGAAAATATCTTTCCTGGCGCTGACAGCCTTCGAATGTATTGCCATAATACGTAACTTAACCCGTTATTCGTGCAATTAAATGTCTCCTATAATTATATGTTTGCTACTTTTTAAGTTACTACTTGTTTCTTGTAGATACGTTCTTCAAATTTTATTTACATGCAAATACCATTATTGCTGACAAATTCAAAACACAATAAATGAATGAGAGTTTATGAGAGAGCCCTTTCAATATAAAAATACTAAGTTTTCTTTCAACATAATCTGTGAAGTGTGTACTTGACGGGAAGATTGTGTTTTTGATGCACAGTTTCTGACTTTGATGAAAGTAGGGATGCTGTGTTCTATATTATTTTTCTTGAATTCCTTTTATTCTAAAGAATCCGTAGAAGTAATTCTTGTATCTGCCAGAAACTAAGGATAAAATAGAAGAAAACAGCATTTAACTTTCCAAGTTTCAACGTCTTATTAGTACTGAAGGAATATTTTGGCTTAAAATTTGTAGATTATGGAGCATTTACGCAAAGACCTTCCAAGGCACAAGTGGCGTAAGCCGAACTTCGTTACTAAGCAACTAGACCTTCATGCGTAACGGAAACTGGTATAAGGAACTTGTGTAAATGTCCTAACTGATGAACTTTATACCAATCTGGTTTAAGAACCCATCCATCACAGCGAAGAGAATACGGACTGACATTCAGTCGACGGCTTCGCTGAGTCAGCTGCAGCTTTACCTTCCCTGAACGGCTACGATTATCTCTGTCCACCGATGTTAAAAGAGTTAATGTCTTTTAGGCCTTAAGTCTGTTGACAATAATGATAGATAGACCATCGAAGGAAAAATCGCATGAAACCTTGATAAGGGGGAAAACAATTACAAAGTTTTTGTAAAAAGTCGCTTTATTTCAATGCGTGGTAAAAAGTCACTCTATTTCAATCTTTCAGTAGCATACACAGTGCCATGTTCAGGGCAGTCCTTTAGTATCACGCATAATGCTAAGTTGGTAGTCTACCTTTTTCAGTTCTCTAATGCATGTTAAAATAATGGAAGATACAGCAACTGAAAGGCGATGTTTGCTGTCCCCTAACCGGCGTTTCTTGAACTAATATATTTTAACGACCTGTCTGCGAGCAATATTTCAGAGTAAAGTTTGATTAACTATTGAAATTTATTTATATTTAATATTGTTCATTAGACTGTTCTTAAAAGAGAAAGCTCTTAAAGAGATAGATCACTTCAGTAATTTCAGGTAAATATTTTGGTTTGTTGAACTAATTAAATTTTACCTCACAAGAGACTCTGTTGAACATTTCGAAAGACAGCTGAAAATTACAGCAATAATAATAAGAAGAACAACTATAATGATAAGAATAGTAACAATAATAAAAATAATGATAACAAAAACAACAACAGTAATCATAAAGTAACAACAAAAGTAGTACTAATAATAATAATAATAAGAAGAAGAAGAACTATATAATGACTAGAACGATAACAATAAAAAAAATAATGATAACAAAAACAACAACAGTAATCATAAAGTAACAACAAAAGTAGTACTAATAATAAGAAGAACTATATAATGACAAGAACGATAACAATAAAAAAATAATGATAACAAAAACAACAACAGTAATCATAAAGTAACAACAAAAGTAGTACTACTAATAATAATAATAAGAAGAAGAAGAACTATATAATGACAAGAACGATAACATTAAAAAAATTATGATAACAAAAACAACAACAGTAATCATAAAGTAACAACAAAAGTAGTACTAATAATAATAATAAGAAGAAGAAGAAGAACTATATAATGACAAGAACGATAACAATAAAAAAAATAATGATAACAAAAGCAACAACAGTAATCATAAAGTAACAACAAAAGTAGTACTAATAATAATAAGAAGAAGAACTATATAATGACAAGAACGATAACAATAAAAAAAATAATGATAACAAAAACAACAAGAGTAATCATAAAGTAACAACAAAAGTAGTACTACTACTAATAATAATAATAATAAGAAGAAAGAAGAAGAACTATATAATGACAAGAACGATAACAATAAAAAAAATAATGATAACAAAAACAACAACAGTAATCATAAAGTAACAACAAAAGTAGTACTAATAATAATAATAATAAGAAGAAGAAGAACTATATAATGACAAGAACGATAACAATAAAAAAAATAATGATAACAAAAACAACAACAGTAATCATAAAGTAACAACAAAAGTAGTACTAATAATAATAATAAGAAGAAGAAGAAGAACTATATAATGACAAGAACGATAACATAAAAAAAATAATGATAACAAAAACAACAACAGTAATCATAAAGTAACAACAAAAGTAGTAATAATAATAATAATAATAAGAAGAAGAAGAACTATATAATGACAAGAACGATAACAATAAAAAAAATAATGATAACAAAAACAACAGTAATCATAATAGTAGCAATAATAATAATAACAATAATAATAATAATAGCAATAATAGTAATAAACAGTATTCATTGGCAAATTTATTAAAAATTATGCTTTTTATTCTCCATTGCTATTCGATATTTTAAAAGCCTTTCGTAATTCACTACTTTCTCATATTGTTTTACTTACTCCTAAAATATCTGAAAAAAAGCCGCCCAGACGGTATAGGTGGTAAGGGGAGCCTACTGCGATATCGAAGGGCCCGGGTTCAAATTTCGGAGAAGGCATGGATGTTTGTAAATGTATAATGTCTTTACGGCATGGGGGCACTCTAAATATATGGCGAGCCGAAAGTCCTCGCGAGAGGTTGATGGTAAGGAAAGAGAGGTGAGAGACCCTCGGACCCGTCCCCCCGGGGTTCTCTCTATGAAAATTGCGAGCAGAACTAAGCGAAGTCATATTGTCACCTGTATGGTGCTGAAGTCTGTCGCCGACGACAGGCGCAATCATCTTGTCCTTGCCACGATGAATTTCATGAACTTGTTCTGATGTTGCCGGCAGACAAGTGAGATAAGTTACAACAAGAACAACATATCTGAAATAAGCTTTTATACTTAATTTTTCTTCCCTTAAGTCAAAAACCGACTGGGAAAGGGATCAATTTCATCGCCAAGAAATTCATGAAACGGGTTCCTTTTCACACTATACGTGGGGAAATAATTTTATAGCAATGTGCAGAGCGTACGGGGAAATCATTTAATTTTTATGTGCAGTCAAAGTAACAGGAGAAATTCAACTCCATTTCTGCTTTGTAGAGTTTACAATCATTAACTACTTTTAATTAAGCAAGTTTGAATAAATTTTTTTTTCATATTTCATCAGCATAATTTGCTTTAATTTTTATTTATTTTTTTTTTTTTATTTTTTTTCCTAACAGAAGTGAAAATGAAAATCAAGACAGTTCGACAAAACAATCTAGTGAAAATGTAAGTTTCAATTTTATTAAAAATAATTGGATTACTATTGAAGATCTGATTTGTTATTCTTTGTATTATTCTGTATTTTCTGTAGCAGTTAATGTTAAAAATCGTTTGGGGAAATAATATGGCCAATCCGTATATCGATGGTCAACAGAAATTACATAAATTATGCCGTTACTTAATTTAAATTCCGTGATTAGAAATGTCATCATCAAGTCATCATACCGAATACAACTATGCCATAAAGTGGTTGATAAGCCAGCTTTGCTTATATTTATAAACATTTTCTGTTTCTATTCTGTAAAAAATAGAAATTATTAAAGAATAAAAAGTTTGTGTTGTAAATTTAAAGTACGTATCTATGCCTCTCCCTTCAGTTAAATAAAAAGGAAACAAATTGATGTAATTTTCAGTTCCAGAAATTAACCATTGCAGAAAATTGTCAAAATTAATGTGAAATCTCGATTAACCGGCTTTCGGATTAACCGAGTCTTGTCTAAAATAGGTTTCTTCAGTAAGGTACGATAAAAAAATTACTGTCACAAACCGTCAGCGTAAAACAGAACTAACTGTCCACGGAAAATACAGAGAAGAAAATAAAAATGCGTATTATCAGAAGATGTTCTAATATTTAAGAGTTGTTTTTATTTGCAACAACGCAATTTAATTGTACGTAATCGGGAATGTAAAAAACATCAAATTATCCATTAAAAGTATACTACTCAATTGTAAAAATATATCGGGTACACAGCCATTAAGCTTCTGTTATACCATTTATTATAACCCAAATTTCTTCATCTCTAGTCATGTTTATTCTTCCACATTTTTTTTTTTTTTTTTTTTTTTTCCGTTGAAATGTTTCATTTTTTTTTTTTTTTTTTTTTTTTTTTCAGCATTAAAACTAATATTATACTGAAATAAAATTGGTATTTAACTCCAATTCCAAAAAAGCTTAGAATAATAGAATATAATAAATGGAGATACCATTTCTATTCATTTTTCTTTTTCGTTCTTTCTTTTAATGAAATATATACATTGTAGATGCCAACTGTTTACTAATTTCTCGATTTTTTTCTGCTCAGGTGCCAAAAAGGCGATTTCTGCGTTGCCCAGCAGCTGTGACCGTAGCCCACCTTAAAAAATTCATCCGAATGAAATATGGAATTCCGAATTCGTATGAAGTAAGTTCATTCTCATAGTTTATTTATTTTGTCTCTGAGCCTATATAGCAGAATACTGCTAATCCGAACTTCACTCTCTGCATCGCCGAGGTATCCGAACAAAGCAATTTAAAATTAAATTTGAAATATAAATAAAACTGGAAATATGAAAGGATGAAGATGAAGATTAAATTGGAATGCCTTCGTAATAGTTGCCTGTCATAAAAATGCAGCATTTTTTATGTAAGTGATCTCATAGGTAGAAAACTTAATAGCGTTCTAGCATAGAAAAATAGCGTTCTAGCATAAAGTGACCGCACTGTTATGCAAATTATCAAGCTTCCTTGTTTTTTCGGAAATGCTGGTACCACAGAATTGCCAGTGCCTTTATGCAGGTCGGTCACTTTTACGCGGCAGAAGAGGACTGCTACCCTGACTGGCTATAAAATTTGCCTCAGAGCATTATTATCATTAACAGCGTTCGATTTGCACAAAGGTACCAGCACTTCGGTTGCGGGCTACCGTTAAGGAGAAGTCCCATTACAATGAATGATCCAGTTACATCAAATCCGAAAGCAATAAACTAATGATTCTTAAAAGTTCAGTGACCCTTTTCATGTAATGTACTTTTTTTGTCATTACATTTTTGTAGTAAAATTAACAAAGATTACATTTTGGTTTAAAAAAACCGATAGCGGATCCTTGAATTAACTTAGGTTTGGTTTGATTTATGTGATTATGGCAAAGCCTCAAGGGCTATCTGCCTAAGGGTAGGGATACCTTCGTGGAGGACTTTCTAACGGAAACTGGATCAAATGCACGTTACACGTCGGGAAAAGCACGAAAATGCCCATGCATCCAGCCCTTTCGCGGGATTCGGACCTCGGACCGAACTACCGGTCTTCAGCGACTTTACCGCTTGGTCACTGGTGGGCCTGGGGAAGACTTAATTTAGTGTGCGTTGGTATTGTTACTGAGATGTTACTGTGCTTTACATAATTATTTCCAAATAGATTTTGTTTCTGTTATTAAATTATGATGAAGTAGAAAATGGAAGCATATGAATGCAGGGTTTAATTTCTAAATTAAAAGTGCTCGGAAGGCCATCTGGAATATGGAAGAGAAATGAATACATAATGGAAGAGGGAAAATAAAATAAAATAAATAAAAAAGAATTAAAATGAAACAATACGCAAAAAAAGAATAAATAAAAGTATTTATAAATTGTTATAAATTAACTAGTGTAGTAAGAAGAATTATAAATTAAAATCAATGCAGTTTAACATGAATAACTAAAAACAATGAAATGAAATAAAAAGCGAAAGGTAAGGTTAGGTTAATGGAATGATGGCAAAGCACACGAGGATTATCTGCTTAAGGAGAGTGATGCCTTTGTGGGAGACTTTCTAATAAAAATTGGTTGGTTACCGAAGGAAAAATTACGAACCCCGTAACCTCTACGAGGTTGGTTTTCGTAATTTTCGTTCCCCCCTTTTGCTTGGGTTCGAACCTGGATCGAACTACCAGTATTCAGCGGTCCACGTTAGAAAGCAGATGAAAAACGACTAAATTAACGAAGCTAATGTATACGACAATTAAAGAAAGGTTTTGATATCAGATAAAATACTTCCTTATTTGGGCTTGAATTTTATTTAAAGTTTTCTTGACTAAAAGGGTGATGTCCCACAGAGATAACATTTCGAAAGAGAGATTTGTTCCTCAGATGCTTGTCCATGTTTTGCTCTCTTTATATTTTGCTCTTCGAAGAAAAACTAAAGCATCAATCATTCAGTACAGTTTTAACAACTGCTGAAACATAAATTTCTGTCATTACTGCAACTGCTGAAACAGTTGTTGCAGTAATGACAGAAATTTATGTTTATAGTTGCGATTTAGTTGCATAGCGAAATGTCGCAGTTCATTTTAGTCAGGGCTTTCTGTATAGAATAACCATTTCGTTCAAAAAAATAACTGCCAGAACCGGGCTTCATTGGCCTCAGAACGAATTTTGAAAGACCCTGCGTCACGGACTTCATCACTCATTGACCTTTCTTGGTAAATAATATTGAGTCAGAGTGATTAAAAGCAGAGTCCTTTAAAGAAAAAAGCATAAAGGAAATTGCTTCCTTGGGAAAATTAATCTTCTTGGAGCAGGAGTGAGTTTCTCTTGTGTGCTTTGTCGTAAGCAATTCCAGATCGCGCGTGTGTGTTTATGTCCACATTTGCGATTACTACGAGAAAGCAGTTGTTTTGAAAACTCTGAAATCAAGCTATTAAGGATTTGCGTACTCCTCTGTGTTCCATGTATCTGGTCTGCTCTGCAGAATATGTTTTAATTATCTAAATAAGGTATAAATGAAAGGCGCTGTGTATTCATACCTGTACATTTTGCTTTATGGCAGTACATGGAATAATGATTTTGGTATTGTTACAATTTTAAAACGGAAACTTTCGACTCTTGAATATTTTTTAATATCCTTACATTCTAAATATTTTTTGTCAATGGCATGATTATCCATGGCTGCAGTTACTGGATTAATCTGATTTGATGGCATCGTTGCTGCTTAGCATTTTCTTCATTATTTCGTGATTCTCAAACTGTGGTTGTCAAATAATTGATGTAGATTAAATTCTCATATCTTTGCTGTATGCAGATGCTCATAAAGGTCGCCGACTGGTTAGGACCACTGAATACTGGAGGTTCGACCTGGGTTCGGTTGTAGGCGAAGAGGCTGTATGCATAGTTGTTGGTTTTCATATGTGTAACATGAATACGAGACAATTTCCTTTAGAAAGGTCCTCTATGATTGTCTTCCTCCTTTGAGGCAGATATGTCTCGTACGCATTGTAGTATTCAGGTTAAAAAACTCAAGCCATGATAATGCGTATCCTCAAAGGCACGTGGCATTTTCAGAGGTATACGAAACCTGGGTGGGTGGGGGGTTACCGCGTAACTCTCAAGGGAAAATGACCGTATAATGCCGTATTTCATAGAATCGACAGTGCTTGAATCAAAGCCGGCAGACGATGGACGTTTTAAAAAGAAATTTTGATAAAGATGTAAAACTGGGTAAGAAAATTAATGCTGTTTTTTGTCATCCTCAAAGCTTCATCGCAGACATAGGATTCAAACTCTGTAGAATTGACGAAAGTATACGATCGACATGGCGTAGGCTGGAGACAAGACTGGAATGGATACGGCATAAAATCAACACCAATATAGGATCGACGCGACGTTTTCTCGATCCTGAAATAAGATTGACACGACGTAGAAACCTAATCTAGATAGGAATGGATGGGACGTTGGCTCGGCATAAATCTAGGATCGACAGAGTGCAGAATGTACACCGGCATAGAATCAGTTTGACGAGTATCGACACCGAACTATAATGGGCAGGCATAGAATCAACACCGATCAATATGCGAAAACTCAAAGTGGCGAAAGCTGGACACCAGACTAATATCAACACAACGTAGACTGAACACCAGCATAGGACCAACGTAGCTTATGCTTGACTGTGGACTAGAATCGACACCGGACCCTAGTAGATCGAAGAATCACCAACGGCACAGTATCGACGCGACGCACGCTGGACACTGAAAGACTCCGACACCGTACTAGGATAAACGTAGTGTAGAATTGACTCTAGCGTAAGATCAAAGCAGCATAGTTTCGACATCGGATTAGGATAGATATGTCGTAGAATCCTGCATAGGGTCGACGCGATGTGGGTTCGACATCGGATTATGATGGATACTGCATAGAATCAACAGCGGCATGTAGTAGACGTTGGCATAACTTAGACATATCTTATTACTAGGACAGTTTCATAAGAGGGAAAGAAAATTCTAATTAGTGAAAATTCTTCCCTGAAGTGTTACGCTTCAGGGAAGCTGCGTAAGATCGATACTAACGTAAGATCGATGTCAGCACAGCATCGAAACCAATTTCGGGCCACTGTGGGGATTCTTTGCCAACAAAGAGGATATCGATCCCACACAGAGTCGATTTTGTGCTGCATATCTTACTTAATATTTGTTTTTCTTTTAAAGAGAAAGGAAGAAGACATTTAGAAAGAAAGTAAACGATTTCTTAGTATGAAAATTCATTAAAATTAGTTAAAATTGGAGTGTACCAACCCACTACCATGAATTCCAAAGTTAATTCAAGTGGAGACCTTTACCAACATTTCCTAGTAGATTCAATTTGACAATCCATATTAACGCTTCTGAACTGGTTCCAGCGATTTTCCGTTTAGAGGCATATATAATGATGAATATCTTGTGTGTTTATTAGCGACTAATTTTATGTCACTTCTTGGCCAATTACATAAATTGTAAATAGTGAAGCTTTCTCTCAACTCCCCATTTTTTTCCCTTTCAAAACTGCTTTGTGATTACTGCTTTACAGCTTTTTTTGGAGAAAGATGCATAAAATATAAATTAGGTATTAAAAGAACGTTTCACTTCTCGAATCTTACAAAACCCAGGGTGCTTCATGTTCGGGAACATCGATTCATCTTCGTCTTCCCCCATGCGTGTGAACATACTTTGGAATCCACCCACGTTCTGGATGTAACACCGTATCAGTTGTGCTTGGAAAAGCCTTTTTTTACACCAATTTCACTATCTTTACGGATGTGTTGGAGCAATATATGCGTTGAGTGGTGACAGTACCCGAGAGACGAGTTCCGGCGTCACGTGACCTGACAGCCCCGCTTTTAAGACCCTAATAACGGAGACTTCCTGTAGGGAAGTGAGAAGCGTGTGTATCGATTTTTTGGATTTCACGCGGAGGGGGATGCCGGTTTTCTTTTCCAGTTCACTTTCACTTCTTTCCATGTGCTTTCTACCCCAGGATTAGGTTCTTACTCCGAGAATAATGTAATCAGACATTGCAGGATTGCCTTTTTTTCCTTCAAAAAATGTGAACGCATACCATGTTTTAGTTTTGGATTTCTCTTTAAGTAGAAATGGAGGGATTTTTACTGCAGATTCTGCTTCAGCCTCTTTGCTCCCAG